TATTGTATATTTTTCCCTCAAAATCTTAAATGTTGTGTTTATTTCTGAAGATTATCATGATGAACAGAACGTTTAAGAATCAGAAACGTTTGTTGGTAACAGAGCTTATTTACTGCAATAATCCAAAAGCCAATGGAAAATCCTATCGGGTTTTAGTCAAGGGAACTTACAGGTAGGCCTAGCAAGGCACTGTTATCTTTATGTGCAGTTCATCACACGCTTCCATTAGTCTTCCTATGTCCTCCTCCTGCCCACTCGCCCCTAACCTGAGCCTGGACCTGAGAAATGAGGATCCAGAGACGTCTCCTCCTCAGTCACTCCCTTTCTCTCCATCTCCTCCCCCTCAGTAGCAGGAACATGCAAATACTGGTTTAAGGGGACGTGTTTAAATACTGCACCATTTTAAGGGGGCGTGAATTGAGAAGTCATTTTTTTCTTGATCGTTTGACATATAAGCGGTCATTGTACAGTGTGAGTTTCAGAACTCAAAACTTCTTGTTAGTCCAAAAACAGCTTTTATTAAAAGAAAGTCGCCAAAATGACTCGTTTTGCTCAATTTTCTTTTTTATTATGGGATGTAGAGGAATACATCAGCACAAGACAGAGTTCAATGCCTACTACTTCATAATGGCTTCTTTAGCCCCGCCCACTCACTTATTAAATGGACAGACAGAAAAACTACAACCGGATCACTGGATTTTGGATAATGGCCTCATGACAGCCAATGTCAAAACCAACCACATGACAGTTTAATGTAATGTTAACCCATAAAGCTAAAGTTTCTTAAGTTTCATAATTAATCTGCTGTCATGTTTATGACACATTTATGACAGGTTATAATGTCTTGATAATGTCAAGTTGTCATAACAAAGACATCTCAAACAATGTCATATTTCCATTAAAAATGTCATAATTGAGCGAATGACACTTAATGACAGTTGTCATAAACATGCATAAAACCTCCTTCATGTGTCCTGTCATGGTTATGAAGGTGTCATGTCAGTCTTATGCACACCCCTTCAAGTAAAGTGTTACCAGTATTACTAAGTAGGGCTGTGCAAGACTAGTTGGCTAGTCGACTAAATCATACTGCTGCTGTAGTCGAAATTTAAAAATACTAGTCGTTTACATTCATTTTTATTGCATATTTATGTTTTGCTTTATACTTTTTCAAAGGCTATATTCAAATTCAAATTACATTTTAAAAATGATACATATGTCGGCGCGGACCCGAGTTCGAATCCCATTTCCCCTCTCTCTCCCACCTCACTTCCTGTCCAATATACTATCCTATCACAATAAAGGTGAAAATCACCAAAAATAAATCTTCAAAAAAAATTCTACATATATTTTTTTTTAAAGTGTATATCTGGAGCGTAAAGCAAACAAGCAAGGTATTTCGACAGAACGGAAAAGTGTTGTGTAGGCCATGTCAAAACTACATCAATATTTTAATGAATAGAATACCCTTACATGTAGTTGCCAGTACACATCAAGCTTTTATTGCACAGCTATTTATATGCACAGTTGCTTTTCATACAAGATAAGCGCATTCAAACCCGGGAAATATGAGGAATTCTCTATTTTAACAAATGTTGATTAAGTGAAAGATTAAATTTAATGTACAATGATCATAATGCATGGCAAGCACGTGTATGTGAGCTGGGCGTTCAGAATGGGCTGTGACTGTGCTGAGATCAGCAACACCAGATCAGATGATTCAGACTGACCTCAGTTAAAACAGGAGTAGCAAAATAGCGATTTTACTGCTGAAACAAAGGTTTTTTTATGCACACATGTTGAATTTAAGAGGTGGAGAGACTAAAAATAGTTGTAAGGGATACAATGCTGCCCTCATTTTAATAAAAGCTTTTTATTCAGCTTAATTGGACCCAGATGGCCCGGGGTTCACAGGACTTTCCTCTGTTTGGCGAGTGAGAAATTCCAGCCTGGGATAACAGTGTTGTGTTAATGAGTGAACGCGGACGCCAGGGGCACGGCACACACACACTGCAGGCATGCATCACACACACGTCTCACTGCATTTAATGCACCCTCCCCTGAAATGATGCATTATTGTATGGTGCTGATAACATTAATATTGGGTTCATTAATGTGTGACCTCATGATTTTATATGCTGAAGAGAAGTCAAGCATTTCAAACTAAATATTTTAATACACACCGCCGGTCAAGATTTTTAATGTTTTTAAAAGAAGTCTCTTCTGCTCACCAAGGCTGCATTTATTTGATTAGAAATACAAAAAAACAAACATATTGTGAAATATCATTACAATGTAAAACAGCTGTTTTATGTGAATATAATAAAGTGTAATTTATTCCTGTGATCAAAGCTGAGTTTCAGCATCATTACTCCAGTCTTCAGTGTCACATGATCCTTCAGAAATCATTCTAATATGAGGATCTGATGCTCAAGAAACATTTATGATTATTATCAGTGTTAAAAACAGTTGTGTACATTTTTATTTCAGTATTATTTGATGAATAGAAAGCAGAAATAGAAATAGAACAGCTTTTATCTGAAATAGAAATGATCTATGAACATAAACATACTATATAATAACATTAAACAGTACCGTTCAAAAGTTTGGGGTCAGTAAGAATTTTTATTTTATTTTTTGGGGAGATGCATTAAAAGATGAATTAAATTGATCAAAAGTTACAGTAAAGACATTTATAATGTTATAAAAGATTTTGTACACAACTGTCTTCAACACTGATAATAATCATAAATGTTTCTTGATCATCAGATCCTCATATTAGAGTGATTTCTGAAGGATCATGTGACACTGAAGACTGGAGTAATGATGATAAATACAGCTTTGATCACAGGAATAAATTACACTTTACTATATATTCACATAGAAAACAGTTATTTTAAATTGTCAAAATATTTAACAATATTACTGTTATTTTGTATTTTTAATCAAATAAATGCAGCCTTGGTGAGCAGAAGAGACTTCTCTTAAAAACATAAAAAACTTTTGACCGGCGGTGTGTATTACAATAATAATTAGTATTATTAGTAGTGCTGGGCAACGATTAATCGCATCCAAAATAAAAGTTTGTGTTTACATAATATATGTGTGTGTACTGTGTATAATTATTTTGTATATATAAATAATATGCATGTATATATTTAAGAAATATTATACTGTATATATTTTTATATATAATTTAGAATATATACATGCATGTGTGTGTATTAATATATTCAAAATAATTATACACAGTACACACGCATGTATTATGTAAACACAAACTTTTGTTTTAATAGTTTAATATTAATCATGCACAGCTCTATTTATTATTAGTAGTTGCTGAGAGATTAGAAGGGTGCTCATATCAGTTAGTGTGTGTGTTCAGTGCCAGTGAAGGCGTTCCTCAGTGTTATCCTGCCAGTCACTCCTCGTGTGTGCCGTGGGCCGCGTGTGTGCTCTGCTAGCGCAGCTGATGACGAGGTGTGGAGGAGCAGCTGTGCTGGTGTAGATGTGGTGAGGTGGAGGTCTTTGAGCTTCTTCATGGGTCACCAGTTGTTTTTCCAACACACAAACTGTTATGAGAAATGAGAGTTGCATGGGTGGATGGTTCCTTTCACATGACTCTGTGATCCCGAGTGTCTTCGGCTCGACTGTTCTCATGTAGCCTGTTGCACAAGAGCTGCTTTTACTGATGTTTATTCCAGAATAATTCACTTCTGTGTTTACATTCACATACATATGTTTATATGCGATTCATACTATGGTGAATCCTCCAGGATTGCTTTGAAAAGCACAAAAGCATGTTTGATTTTGAGTCTGATAGCGTATTCTCAGAGTATTTATCACGGCAAACCTTCAACGAAATTTATTTGGCACGTGTGGACCGAACCAGAATATTTTGTTGTCTATGAAAAGCTATAGATATCTACAGATAACGTATTATATTTGCTCACTAAATCAATTCAATTCAAATTTATTTGTATAGCGCTTTTCACAATACATATTGTTTAAATCGTGTGTTTAGCTTTCATTTTATATGTGCAATGAAGAAATTTGGTTACATTCGCCACAGAAAAAAACATTTTTAAAAGATAATTGCGACTTTTTTTATTAGTTAGTTTACATCTCGAAATCTTGACTTCTCCCGATTGCGTGTTTTAAAGTCAGAATTGCGAGATATAAGCTCTCCATTGCTAGAACAAAGTCAGAACCGCAAGTTTATTTCTCGCAAATGCGACTTTATATCTCGCAATTGTGAGATGAAAAGAAACTCACAATTGTGAGATAAAAAGTCACAATATATATCTGTTTATTCTGTGGCATAAACAAGCTTCCATAGATAAGTGATTAATGACACTATTGTCTTTTTAGAGGTGCTGTACAGCTGAAAGTATGTTTGTTTCATAATTAAAGTACAACATTAATACTTTTATTTATTTCTCTGCAAAAGAAAAAAGTTTATTCATCATTGTTTTTGTCTTGTTTTCCATTACAAATATCTAAACACTCTTAAATCAAAATAAACTTGTTTTCCCATTGGCAGATTTTTGTATATTTGTTTAGTTTTGTTTTGAACACAATATACTTTTGTTTTGATAAGATATTACATTTTTGTTTTCTGTAAAAATTAAGTAATTTTGATTCTCATGTAAAATGATCTTGATTTAAGAATAATAAAAAAAGTATATGTATATATATATATATTCCTTGACATAACATAAACACATGGTTGAGAACTCATTGTGAGATTTATTAGCCTATCATTCCATTATAGTCAGATCAGATAGCGTTTGTTTTGTTGTTTTTTTTCCTTATTTGAGAAATGTTCCATCATTTATGACACAACAGCTGTACTGTTTTATGGCGCTCGGTTAGCAGCAACATTAATCACATGTTTGAGTAAAGCGATGTGCTCTCTGGTCAGGCCTGCTGGGACACTGAGATGCTTCTGGACTAGTTTCCTCCTCACATGTCGTGATGATTACGCTGTGTCTCTTCAGGCTCAGAGCCGCGTGTGAAGCCGAGTGTGTGTGTGATGGAGAATCGGTCAGCGCTCGGAAGCAGTCGTCGGCCTCGGGAAGTTACCAGCTTCAGTTCGCCATCCAGCAGCTGCAGAAGCAGAAGCAGCGATCCCGACAACTGCTGGACCAGAGCCGCTCACGCCACCAGGTGTGCGCACACACACACACACACACACACACACACACACACACACACCAGAGTTTCAGTTCACTCACACACACCAGTGTTTCAGTTCACTCACACACACCAGTGTTTCAGTTCACTCACACACACCAGTGTTTCAGTACACACGCGCACACACACACACACCAGTGTTTCAGTTCACTCACACACACCAGTGTTTCAGTTCACTCACACACACCAGTGTTTCAGTTCACTCACACACACCAGTGTTTCAGTGTACTCACACACACACACACACACACCAGTGTTTCAGTTCACTCCCACACACCAGTGTTTCAGTTCACTCACACACACCAGTGTTTCAGTACACACGCGCACTAGGGGTGGAACGGTACATGTATTCGTATTGAACCGAAACGGTACGGGCGTCACGGTTCGGTGCACGAATTTGCACGCAGAATACACGGTACAAATAAAAAAAACCTCTTAAATAGCGATGAATTTCGCTCTATTCGCTTTTGGTGTGACTGTGAACGCAGCAATGAACAGGCTGCGATCAAGATTGCAATGCAGGAGTGTGTGTGTGTGTCTGTGTGCGCGAGAGAGAGAGAGAGAGGCGCGATGAACAGTGTGTGTGTGTGCGAGAGAGAGAGAGGCGCGATCGAACAGTGTGTGTGTGTGTGTGTGCGCGCGTGCGAGAGAGAGAGGCGCGGTGTGTGTGTGTGTGTGTTCGCGCGCGCGAGAGAGAGAGGCGCGGGCGCGAATCGCGCGATGAACAGTGTGTGTGTGTGTGTGTGTGTGTGCGCGCGCGTGCGAGAGAGAGAGAGAGGCGCGGGCGCGAATCGCGCGATGAACAGTGTGTGTGTGTGTGTGTGTGTGTGTGTGTGTGTGTGTGTGTGTGTGTGTGTGTGTGTGTGTGTGTGTGTGTGTGTGTGAGTGTGAGTGTGTGTGAGAGAGGCACGGGCGATCGAACAGTGGAAACGTAAAAACATACTCCGTCATTTTTTTCATACAGGACATCATTAAAACTGCAAATTGTTTACTTATATTTGTGTACACTCGCAATAAAACACAACATTGTGCTTTTGTCACACTCTAAACTCTTGTCAAACTGTAACCTACACCTGTTAACAAAAGTTTTTATGGTAGTATTATTTTATACGGAAATCAATTATTTATAATTCAGATGAGAATAAAGTTAGTTAATTAAAATGAAGGAAAACAAATATCTTGATCTGAAATAGCAAATTAATTTTAAATTCATTCAGGTACAATTACCAAACATATCTCAAGGTCTTTTCGTCTTTTTAATAATTTAATTAATAAACTAATTATATAAAACTACTGTCAGTACAAATAAACTGGTTCTATGCCTTTATTAATAAAACTTATTTAAAAAAAATACAAGGCTTAAGACATTTATAAAAATGCCTTCTGCATTTTTGCTTTGCTTTTCACTCCCTTGTACCGAAATCGTACCGAACCGTGATGTCTGAACCGAGGTATGAACCGAACCGTGACTTCTGTGTACCGTTCCACCCCTAACGCGCACACACACACACACACACCAGTGTTTGGGTTCACTCACACACACCAGTGTTTCAGTGTACTCACACACACCCGTGTTTCAGTTCACTCACACACACCAGTGTATTTCAGTACACACACACACACACACACACACACACACACACACACACACACACACACACACACACCAGTGTTTCAGTTCACTCACACACACCAGTGTTTCAGTGTACTCACACACACCAGTGTTTCAGTACACAGACACACACGCACACACACACACCAGTGTTTCAGTTCACTCACACACACCAGTGTTTCAGTTCACTCACACACACCAGTGTTTCAGTTCACTCACACACACCAGTGTTTCAGTTCACTCACACACACACCAGTGTTTGGGTTCACTCACACACACCAGTGTTTCAGTTCACTCACACACACCAGTGTTTGGGTTCACTCACACACACCAGTGTTTCAGTTCACTCACACACACCAGTGTTTGGGTTCACTCACACACACCAGTGTTTCAGTTCACTCACACACACCAGTGTTTCAGTTCACTCACACACACCAGTGTTTCAGTTCACTCACACATACCAGTGTTTCAGTTCACTCACACACACCAGTGTTTCAGTTCACTCACACACACCAGTGTTTCAGTTCACTCACACACACCAGTGTTTGGGTTCACTCACACACACCAGTGTTTCAGTTCACTCACACACACCAGTGTTTCAGTTCACTCACACACACCAGTGTTTCAGTTCACTCACACACACCAGTGTTTCAGTGTACTCACACACACACCAGTGTTTGGGTTCACTCACACACACCAGTGTTTCGGTTCACTCACACACACCAGTGTTTCAGTTCACTCACACACACCAGTGTTTGGGTTCACTCACACATACCAGTGTTTCAGTGTACTCACACACACCAGTGTTTCAGTTCACTCACACACACCAGTGTTTCAGTTCACTCACACACACCAGTGTTTGGGTTCACTCACACACACCAGTGTTTCAGTTCACTCACACACACCAGTGTTTCAGTTCACTCACACACACCAGTGTTTCAGTTCACTCACACACACACCAGTGTTTCAGTTCACTCACACACACCAGTGTTTCAGTTCACTCACACACACCAGTGTTTCAGTTCACTCACACACACCAGTGTTTCAGTACACTCACACACACCAGTGTTTCAGTTCACTCACACACACCAGTGTTTCAGTTCACTCACACACACCAGTGTTTCAGTTCACTCACACACACACCAGTTTTTGGGTTCACTCATACACACCAGTGTTTCAGTTCACTCACACACACACCAGTTTTTGGGTTCACTCATACACACCAGTGTTTCAGTGTACTCACACACACACCAGTGTTTGGGTTCACTCACACACACCAGTGTTTCAGTTCACTCACACACACCAGTGTTTCAGTGTACTCACACACACCAGTGTTTGGGTTCACTCACACACACCAGTGTTTCAGTTCACTCACACACACCAGTGTTTCAGTTCACTCACACACACCAGTGTTTCAGTTCACTCACACACACCAGTGTTTCAGTGTACTCACACACACCAGTGTTTGGGTTCACTCACACACACCAGTGTTTGGGTTCACTCACACACACCAGTGTTTGGGTTCACTCACACACACCAGTGTTTCAGTTCACTCAAACACACCAGTGTTTCAGTGTACTCACACACACCAGTGTTTGGGTTCACTCACACACACCAGTGTTTCAGTTCACTCACACATACCAGTGTTTCAGTTCACTCACACACACACCAGTTTTTGGGTTCACTCACACACACCAGTGTTTCAGTTCACTCACACACACACCAGTTTTTGGGTTCACTCACACACACCAGTGTTTCAGTTCACTCACACACACCAGTGTTTCAGTGTACTCACACACACACCAGTGTTTGGGTTCACTCACACACACCAGTGTTTCAGTTCACTCACACACACCAGTGTTTCAGTGTACTCACACACACCAGTGTTTGGGTTCACTCACACACACCAGTGTTTCAGTTCGCTCACACACACCAGTGTTTCAGTTCACTCACACACACCAGTGTTTCAGTTCACTCACACACACCAGTGTTTGGGTTCACTCACACACACCAGTGTTTGGGTTCACTCACACACACCAGTGTTTCAGTGTACTCACACACACCAGTGTTTGGGTTCACTCACACACACCAGTGTTTCAGTTCACTCACACACACCAGTGTTTCAGTTCACTCACACACACCAGTGTTTGGGTTCACTCACACACACCAGTGTTTCAGTTCACTCACACACACCAGTGTTTCAGTGTACTCACACACACCAGTGTTTGGGTTCACTCACACACACCAGTGTTTGGGTTCACTCACACACACCAGTGTTTGGGTTCACTCACACACACCAGTGTTTCAGTTCACTCACACACACCAGTGTTTCAGTGTACTCACACACACCAGTGTTTGGGTTCACTCACACACACCAGTGTTTGGGTTCACTCACACACACCAGTGTTTCAGTTCACTCACACACACCAGTGTTTCAGTGTACTCACACACACCAGTGTTTGGGTTCACTCACACACACCAGTGTTTGGGTTCACTCACACACACCAGTGTTTCAGTTCACTCACACACACCAGTGTTTCAGTACACACACACACACACACACACACACACACACACACACACACACACACACACACACACACACACACACACACCAGTGTTTCAGTTCACTCACACACACCAGTGTTTCAGTTCACTCACACACACCAGTGTTTCAGTTCACTCACACACACCAGTGTTTCAGTGTACTCACACACACCAGTGTTTGGGTTCACTCACACACACCAGTGTTTGGGTTCACTCACACACACCAGTGTTTGGGTTCACTCACACACACCAGTGTTTCAGTTCACTCACACACACCAGTGTTTCAGTGTACTCACACACACCAGTGTTTGGGTTCACTCACACACACCAGTGTTTGGGTTCACTCACACACACCAGTGTTTCAGTACACACACACACACACACACACACACACACACACACACACACACACACACACACACACACACACACACACACACACACACACACACACACACACACCAGTGTTTCAGTTCACTCACACACACCAGTGTTTCAGTTCACTCACACACACCAGTGTTTCAGTGTACTCACACACACCAGTGTTTGGGTTCACTCACACACACCAGTGTTTGGGTTCACTCACACACACCAGTGTTTGGGTTCACTCACACACACCAGTGTTTGGGTTCACTCACACACACCAGTGTTTCAGTTCACTCACACACACCAGTGTTTCAGTGTACTCACACACACCAGTGTTTGGGTTCACTCACACACACCAGTGTTTGGGTTCACTCACACACACCAGTGTTTCAGTTCACTCACACACACCAGTGTTTCAGTGTACTCACACACACCAGTGTTTGGGTTC